GACAGGGGCTGAGTGGCTATCAGACCCTCACTTACATGAATTATAGATGTAAGATGGACCCAAGGGAGCCGGCCCTCCTAAGCCACCCACTAAAATCATCACCATATGCTCTGCTTTTACTGTACCCCCCCCCCACCCCCACCTTCTTACACACACAGCTTGATGTTGCCATGATGCCCTGCCTCGATAATCCTTAAAAATCACTAATCCAGTGTCACAGACTTAACGGTCACAAATTAAAGGCGAGGGTCCGCTCCTGGATATCCTCCCTGTGTAATGCCACAGTGATCACACAGATCATGAATATGGAATTTGGTGGGGGAGGCTGGTGGCAAAGAAAAGGATTTCTACCATTTGCATATTAAACGTGTGGAGGGGGGGGGTTTCCACCTGATGAGACGGTGGATTTAGAGACCAAATCAGCCTTAAATGTTTTAATTCTGACGGCTGAGGATGTGGTTTTTCCCCTCCAGATGTAAATTTTCCAACTACAGAAATGTAACATCACCACCACTGGAATAATTTGTAAATTATTACTAATTTATTGGCATTTAGTTATTCTTCTCTGCATTGTTATTGTCACTTATTTTAGATCTGTATACAGACATATAGTTACATATGTATATATTTATTTGTATTTTGTGTGGAATATTGTGTATATATACATACATATATATGTATGTATGTATGTATGTATAGACATGTATATATGTATATGCTGTTGTTTATCTGGAGTTAGCAACAAAAAGTATTTCTGAATCTGACCTGATCGATGAGAGACAGCCGGCCGTCTAATCTGAAATCAAATCCGGCCTCTCCGAGTACAGGAGGCTTTCATTAGGATTCAAAGTTTGCATAATCATATGTTCCGTCCATTAAGCTGCTTTAAGCCTGATCTGAGTAAACCAGCTGAGATTTTACCACCACAAACCGGGCCAGTGGGCTTTAGACATAATCAAGGGGTTAAGTGACTTTATAAAAGTCCAAAATTCACCTCTATTGTGTCGTGACTTCTTTATTTCCTTTGACATTTTCCTCCAACCTGAGGAAAATGTGAGGAGTGAGGATTTTTTTTAAAGGAACGGCGCAAAAACCTTTAAAAAATCCGACTTTAATGCATAAGAATCACATCAAAGCCTGAAAAGTGCTGTTTCTCCACAGCCGATTATGAATCTTTATGTAAATCAGCTCACAAACACTCAGTTATTTCTGTATTTTCCCCCTTTGAGCCTCTCAGGAGGAGCTCCAACGGCCTCTGACAACCCCGTCCTCCGTTTCCTGCCTGCTGCACTGTCACCCCTGCATAATGCATGACTTGTAAGGCATCTCATGTTTAGATCGGAAGAGCGTTGTGTAGGTAAATAGTGTAGCTCTCGGTCGACGCCGTATCATTAAT